GCGGCGGCGGCGGCGGCTCTGGAATCAGGCTTTTCCTCCGCCGCCTGAAGCGAACGTGGTGTCCTCGGGGACCGGTGTGCGTGACCCAGCTCTGGCCCCCGAGAGGCTTTGGAACAGCCGGGGCCCCTTCCGTTTCTCGCGTGCACGGGCAAGTGGACGTGGAGACCGTGCCCACACCCTCAGCTCGGGAGGCAGAGATGCAGGGGTGGCAGGGAACTGGGGCCAGTGCTTGAGAGGCCTGAGCCGGAGCTGCCGCCGGGCACTCCCCGGCACTGCTGGCCCACCTCAGACCTGTCATCCCGCTTTCCCGCCCACGCACACCCCACACCCAGCGGCTGTGGCCCTGGCCATCACCACCGCCCCCCATGCTTCACTGTGTGTGTCTGGGTGTAACTCCGGAACCCGGGTTTCGCCTGGCGCCGGCATTTGGCCGGCTTGGTAGAGTTTTCCTTGCGCCCTCCTAACTCACACAGAGGGGCGCCTGTGCGCCAGGCTGCCCCCCTGAAGGCCCCGACTCCGGATCAGGGCGACTCCGGGTCAGGGCCGGGCGGCTCCCCGGGGCTTTCAGGCCTCAGCCCCAAGGAAGCTGACCTGGAGGAGATACCTGCCCCTCCAAGCCGAGGCCACCGGGAAGTCCGGCCCAGCCTCCAGAGAGCTGCTGGAAGGATGAAAGGGGAAGTTACTCTCCCCATTTAAAACTTTGTTGGTCACAACTTGGTGGCTACTTCCTGCTTCCACCATCCCACACGGGCCCAGGGTGCCCGTTTGTATACTCTCGCTCAGGGGCTGGCAAGATCGGGGCTGTGCTGGCTGGCCCTGGCTCACTATGGAGGCCTCTGGCACGTGTGTGCAGGGGATCCCTGTTGGCAGTTGTGACGGGGGAGGGGAGGCCTGGCTTGCTCCAGCAGGGGGAGCCTGGTAATGGCCAGAGGCCTGGCTGCTGCTGGTCCCTGCGCCTTCAGGGTGAGACTGGAGCCCTGATGGAGGCCGAAGTAGGGCTGCAGCGCCGAGAGGAGGTCTGTCCTTTGGTGCAGGCCCCAGGCTGAGGGGAAGAATCCTCTTGCTCATTCTAGAACCTCCCAGACATGGTGGGGCACATACCCATTTAGGGTCAGAAAAATGTTCCTTAGATGCAGGCCGATAGGTGGCTTCGGCACAAAGGGGAAAGGAGAAACCTTCCCAGGTTGAGAATTGATGGGCCCTCTTTTTCCTCAGCTCTGAATAATAGGGGTGTAAACATTCAATTACTGTGATAAGCCGTCCAGGCATGGCCCTAGTCCAGCCTCCACTCTGAATTAGATTGGCCTCTGGCTAGCTCCTGCCTGCTGAGCAGCTCCCGAGGGACTAGGGGTGAAAAACCTGGAGGGTACCCCCCAGTCAACGCAGCTACCACTAGGACAGCCTGCCCAGGGCCACTGTGGCCTCTCCAAGGGCCGGGCAGAATGCCTACTCCCTGCGGCTCTGTCAGCCCCTCACCCCACCCTAGGAAAGTGTACCCTGGAGTGTCCATGGGGATGAGAGTTCAGCTTTTAAATGTGGGATTTAAAAATAGCCTGAGTGTTTGGCCCTGTGGGCTGCTGCTTTTAATAAATGGGGGGGGGGGGAGGACAATATGTGTTACAGATTCAGCTAAGGACCTCCCGTGGCAGCAGAACCCAGGGAAGGGCTGCCCAGTAGGCCCGGCCTTTTTGCCTGAATGGGAGTGTGTGTGTCCGCATGTGTTTGTGCGTGCATGTGCGCACTGGGCATAGTATCCGGGAAGGGGGTGAGCCCAGTCAGGAAGCTCTGGCCTTAGTAACCCTCTTCTGCAGTTGGGTTTCCCAGAAGGAGACCTTCCTGGGGGGGCTGGCCACAAGTAGCTGGCGGTGCCTATTAATCCTTCTGGTCCTGTTGCAAATGCCCCTTCTGTTGAGACAGCTGAGCCTTCTTCTGAACACTTATGTAGTCCTTTGTGTGCACATGAGTTTATGTGAAAAACATAAACTCAGAGCTAGCATCTCTGCCTCCTACAGAACTGCAGTGAGGAGTCTTGTGAGTTAGTGTAAGTCAGATACTGAAAGCACATTGCAGTGTTTCTGTAGCCTCCGCTCTAGTGGATAATCTGCATTGTTCCCACAAATCCCTGCATCCAGCCGGTATTTATTTATAAGTTAGTTGAACAAATAAAGGCAGAATCTCTGTGAAAAAAATTGTGGACTTGCCCATGTGGTGGTAGGTCCATTGAGTCCTGGGGACCACCCTGTTACACTGGGACTCCTACTGCACCACTGGCTTCAAGCGTCAGCTCATGAGAGGGGACTCTGGTGTTGGTGAACTAGTTCCAGACACTGCCCTCTGACTGACCTGCTGCAGCACATGTCCTGGTCATCCTGACCCTACTGGGGACTCAGGATAGAAGAACAGGGAGTCTCCTGCCTGGAAATTTGCTCACCTGGACATTTCCTCTGGCCAAGCCCATTGGCACTAGTCCAGTGTGTGTACATGCATCAGTATGGAAGCAACCTGGGGGTTCCGGCCTTCCCTGACTCACTGATGGTTGCAGGAAATACGCAGTCTCATGGAGGGGTTGCTGCTGCACAGTAGAGCTGTGTGTGGCTGAACTAAATAAACTGCATGTTGGGCTGGAGCTAGGTGGGGTGTGCTGAAATCCCCAGTTCTTACTTAAGGATCTACATTTGCATTCGAAGCAACATTGAGAATACTGTGAGACCGTGAGCTCACTTCATGAATCAGAAGCATTACAGCATAACTTCGGTGTTGGAAACTGCTGTTTGGAATCCAGATCGCCTCCCTCCACCCCCACCACACACACTGACAGGGGCTCTCACGGTCACACAATCTGGAACAATAACAGTTAATGGGGCATCAATTCAGATTCCAGAGACATCAAGCAAAACTTGTCCACACCCTCTTCCGCCCCCACCTTGGGAACACCATTCCTGGATGGTGTGTGGAAACTAACACGGGCCCTGTCTCTCTGAAGGAAGTCTGGTGTGTGCACAGGAACCAAGCCTGGCTTGAGCAGACCTGAGTTTGTGCTCTAGCTTCTCCCTTGCTGTGTGAGTTTGGGCATTGCTTCACCTCCTGGACCTGTTTCCTCACCTTTAAAAGGGGGTGATAATAGTATTTCAGAGGGTTGCTGTGAAGGTTAAGCAAGAACTTTCAGGCCAAGTGACTGGCACATAGTAGGCACTCAGCAAATGTTCCCTACCTGGTGCAGATCCTGTTTGCCTTTTGCTCCTCCCAGGGAAGAGGGCGTATCCTGCACATGGGTAGGAGAACAGTCTCCTAGGCTGTTGGCACTTGCATCAACAAAATTCATTTTCCAATTCCCTAGGCCTGGCCCAACTGTGTGATCCACTCCCGCCTAGACTGGCCCAGACCCTAGTGCTTCTGTGTGCCTTTACGAGGGATTCAGTCCCTGCCACCTAGGGTTAAGAGCATCAACTTCCCAGAGATCACATTGTGCTCCCAGGAACCTCCCCGCCCAGGCCTCAGGCTGAACTGCTCACGTGGGTGGGGGGAAGACTGCCTTCTCCGCCTGCTGTGGAAAAAGTCCCCTTGTCTTTACTTCACCTGAAGCCTTCCAGTGTGACCTCAGTGGAGTTTGGGTGGAGCTTGGGTGGGGTTGCCCCAGCAAAGAGCATTTTGGCTTTTTCACCTATTAAAAATGTGGGGGTGTGAGGGGGCATACCAAGATATTATATAAGAAAAAAGTTACCACATGTCAGAAAAAAGCACTGGGGTTTTGCCTGGGTGGGGGTGGAGGTCATCCTGAGGGATGTCATTGCTGCCTGTGGTTTGTGTGTTTTAGGGTGGGGGGGTATGGGGGGGTGGGGAGGAGAAGGTCTGGGGGCCTGAGGTTACCCTGGCAGCGATTCTTACTCTTCCTGGAACACAGCCTTGTGCTGTGGCCCAGCCAGGGATGGTGTTCCCTGTTCCCTCTGCCTTTCTCTCCAGCCTTAGGGAACTGGTCGTAAGAGCATTACTTTTTCCAGGGAGTGCTTCTTCCTCCTGGAGTCTCAGGAAGGGGAGGGATAATCAGAGGCGAGGTTTGTCCAGATCCAGCTTGCTCGGGGACTGGGAAGTATACCAGGCTTGCAGCCAAAGGGGGTTCTCAACTTATCTGGGCAAGTGGGGGGCCAAAGAGGAGGGAGAATAATGAAGGATTTCAAGTCCCAACTTTCCCAGGCAGTTGGGCAGCAGCAGTTGTCTGCTGTTGGCAGAATTCACCAGTTCTTTGAAGGGATAGGCCTTAGAACTCAGAAATGGGCCAGAGTGAAGTGCAGCCCAGAGCCGGCCTTTCTCCCATCTCCCTTCTTCTGTGACAGGGCAGGGAGAGAGGGGCCACCCTGTTACACTCCCAGCTACTGGGAAGAGAACTGTGCCAGGCACAGTCTGCACCTCCCGGCAGCCGTGCCAGAGCTGAAACTCTTCGGGGCTCCTAGCCCCACACCTGCATTTTCAAATGAGGAAGCAGGCACTCCTCCACTCTAACCTCGGAGGGTGGAGAGGGGCGCTGCTCCTTTGTCCTGCCTCTCTGGGAGTTTGGAAGTTGGGAGGTCTGCTGCAGTGCT